ATATGCCAACTCTAGTATCAAACTATGATGTAAAGGAAGATGGGCTATAGTACAGAGATTATAGACTGCTCAACTGACATGAATTCAACATATTGCTCAAGAAAAACTATTTTCAACTTTGTAAATGATTAAAAATTTAAATATTAAATAGTAATTAGATTATTGTTATTAGTTTTTAGATTAATATATCTGTCTATGTCTTATGATTATTATGTTAATACTAGTTACACATTAACTACTATTTAAATTATTGTATTTTAATAGTTATATACAAATATTAAATGTTTAGTATGATTATTATTTTTAAATATAATGAACAAAGACTTCTCAGTAGAAGTAAATCATTTTCAAAGGAAAGTAGATTCATGGAATTATAATATTTTTTTGTATACACATAAAAATAAAATTTTATTACAAATTTATCGTAATAATTAAAAATTATAAATGTTAATTACATGTTTAGTACTCCAACTATACTGAAAATATCGATTTTGTACCTGAAATATAAACGTTCATTACTAGGCATTCAAACTTTAATCGCTTGAACGTTTTGCACCTTTGACAAATAGTGTTAGTCAACGAGGGGTGATGTGGTAAAAAAATAATCAATAGAAATATGTCACATGTCAAAAATATCACATCATTTTTTATTTTATTTTTTAAAAAATTTCTTTTTAATTTTAAATTTAAAAAATTCAAAAACTGAATAATTAAATTAAAAACTTTTTTTTAAAAAAAGAAACTTTAAAAATAAAAATAAAAAATGGAGGCCGCACGTCTTATTAAAATGATATTTTAAAAAAAAGTTTATTAATAAAGTGAAATTAAAGTAATTAAAATTTTATTTTTATGTTACGTCAAACATTTTAATGAATGGAGTAACTAAAAAATTATGTAAACGTTACGAAAATATAAAATTATAAAAATGTTATGGATTCAAGTGAGAAAAAATATTACGAAATATCTATTGATTAAATAAAAATATTATGAATTTAGAATTTATTAAACTAAATTTTTACGTAATTAACAAGTGTTTTCTTATTAAGTAATAAAATATTTTATATAAGAAATAAATTTTTTATTTTCAAACAAGTATAACGAGTTTTAAGTTGAATCAAATTACACTTATACCCTTAGGAGTTTTTTTAGTTTTTTAACCCAAGCCTACCATTATTGGGCGGGCTCGTGTGCTAGTCCTCCTCGTCTCATTAAACAAGGGAAACTCTTCTATTGTCTCAAAGTCTCACTCCCAAGCCTCAGCTTACGAGGTAACGATCTCCTGTGGCTGAACACTGCAGGTAACCCTTTTTTCTGCTTTTCGCCTCATTTCCCAGTTTCCATTGGCTCAATCTTCTTTGGTATCTCAAGCCAATTTCCTATCTTTGCATTGAAAAGTAGAGCTCTGTTTAGATAGGGAAGTATATAGATAACATCTAACCGGGTTACTGTTTGATGAAATGCTTCAGTGAATAAGAGCTTTGGCAAATGCATTGAGTTTTACTGCTCATTTGTTAACTGGGTTTTGGCTTATTGGGATTGCTTCCAAACTAAGTTTGTAAGCTTGCCAAATGCCTATCATGACCATAAAATAGCATTTAACTTTCCTTTTAAAACACATTTTAGGGTGTAAATGTATAACTATAGGAGGAATTATTGAGGAAAGTGCTCCTTTTAGAAAAAGATTGGGAGAGATTGTGATCATGCTATGTTGCTAAGGGGCTTTTGTGATTTCATTAATTTCAACTGAGACACTACTGTTGAAATTTTCCTGCTTTCAATTGCAGGTGGTTTTTACTGACAGAAGGTTAATTTCCAAGGCAATGAGTTGAGAGTTTTATCTTTCAGTTTTCATTTTCTTTTATTTGTGGATAAAGCTTTGAATTTTCTTTTTCTTTTTATCATTTCTTGATTTTTGGAAGGAATGGTTTGTTAGCTACTACTCAACATATTAGATAAGGAGATCATATCATCTTCTAGGTAACATGTATAGGGTTAGTCAAAACTCATTTTCATTTCGAAGATGGTTGCATGCATCATCCCGTGATGGCCCTTCAGAAACCTTGAAGAGAAAGGTTGCTGAAATGGAGAAGATGAAGAAAGGGAGGAACCCCAGGAAGGATCAGTTGTTTGTGGAGGTTCCGGAATCAAGATCGTTTCTTGATACAGCAACACTGCCAATGGTTCTTACTGTAGCTGGAATTGCACTTTTTGCAAAGCTGCTCATGATGGTTTGTTCTTTCATCCTATGTTTTATTAGGAATTCTAGTTTGTTTACTTCCCATGGTTAGTAATTTGATGATTGCTTTTAGTTGGTCACTTAAAGAGCCTATATGGATTCAATAGGCTTCCCTGAAGATGCAAAGTCAATATCTTATGTTGTTATTTATGGAAAACACAAATTTAGAGTAAAACAACCCTTTCTAAAAGCATTTACTTCTGGAAGGTTATTCTTAATCCATAGTTCAGAGACTTTATAAAAGTTCTTATTCGTAATGTGTGACTCTAGCTAGCCCTCAAGACTTCATAACTTCATTCTGCACTATGGCGGAATACAGGGTATCAATAGCAAATGGAATATGAATTCAGAAATCACGCACCAATTATAAAATTCGATTTGGTGAAGATTTTTTGCGGTATCTTTAGTCACATAATCCTCTTGCCTAAATGGAAAAGGATGAAACCTCCCAAATCACTTGTCATTGCACATCAATTTTTTTGTTTCCAGGCTTTATGAACATTTATCATCAATTCCCTCTTTTAGTACTTACTACCTACTGAAGAGATTATGCAATTGATATTTTGTCCGCTGGCAGCATGATGACTCAAAGTCCCAAGAACTGATTGAGCGCAAAATAAAGAATGCTCCTCCTGGACAAGGCACAGTCAGGATGCTTACTCGTGAGGAGTGGGAGGAATTTCGAGAAGTGAGACCAAGAACTCCTTTTGAATCCAAGCTTGCTCGTCCAAATGCACAAATAAGAACCGGAGAACCATTGCATATGGTAAGCCAAAGGACTATTAGGTACTTCATATTTTTGATGGATGAATATCTGAATCTGTTTTTTGTCATATTGATGGTAATATCAAATACTGTATTCATCACGTTTCTCTTTAATTATTGTCTTGCCACTTAATTTCAAACCTTTTCCCCTAAGCCAAAGTGTAATACATTTATCCAAGTGATAACACCTCTGCTGCATATGATTTCATAACCTGATTCTTCCTTATGAATTTGAAATTCTATTTCTTTTTCTCAGAAACCTGTATAGAAGCAACAAGGAATTTCTGATCTTGTGTTTCCTGTCATATTGATCATAATCTTCTACTTATTAAGAGTCATAGTTTGACTTTAATGAGTGATAGCAAGCTTTAGAGTTTTTTTTAATTAAATTGTAACATCATACTTGTAACATAACTGCTTATTGCAAATTTATTAGGGGAAAGTGAAAGCTTTACGGTGTGTAAAGCTTTACATTGAAGCTTTACATTGAACAATTGACAAATATCAGGCATGTAGTTGCAGCTACTTGGCTTGACAGAAATGTTAAACCTTGACAGCACACGGTACATGTTTGTCACTGTATCAATGCTTGTCTCTCTATACCTCGTGTCTTCTCTCTCTTTGCCATATCCTATTAGATGCTTCAATCTTACTGTATAAGCATCAGGCACTCATCAAGTCTCACTTGGTTTGTACTTTTCTTCATGCCCTTTTTTAATTGCAGTTGGACCAGGGCACGGTGTTGCAAACAGCTCTTTATGCCTGTGTTGAATGCATCAAAATGATTTTCAAAATAATGCACTAGCTAATAAACTGCTACATAGACTTGAAAGCTTGTCATGCTGATTTTCTTCTTGTATGTAGGAGGACTTGAAGAATTGGACAATTGATGTTCTTACAGATGCACTTACACGAGCTGAAGACTGTGCTAATCGCAAGTAGATGTGATATTAGTTAAGAAGGCCATTCACTATTTTTTTTCCCTTGAGTACAAACACTCTTCATCGACTGAATTGAAAACCTTAATGATTTTGATGCCTAATGTGTGTAATTACACATATCTGTATATCGGTATATGGCTCAAATGGATTAACATAGGATCAAACTGGAGCCAATGAATTTATTGGATCTTCAGCAGATTTATAGAAGCATATAATATTTAACATTGTATGATATCAGCTTGGTTTATCCTAAAAAGGGGGATGAACTTTACATTTGTACTATTTTGATTTCTTTTAATTTTAAATTATCATTAGTGTTATCCCAGAAAGAACTAAGTATCATTCAGTATTTTGATATCTTGAGGTTGCTTCTACAGTTAGAGCAGCATTGAAGTTCTCATTTGGGAGATTTGAATTTAAGATACAAAGTTTGAAGTTTTTGCCTATGGATAAGTTTATTTTAATGCTTTATTTGGTTTCATTCAGGTAAATGTCAATTACTACGTGTAAGTAAATGTGATTGGTTGACATGGTAGAAAAAAATGCATCTGGAAATATCAATGTGTAAGTCCACAGCTTGATTGTAAGAAATAAGTGAGAAAGGATGTTCATTTTGTGTTTCCTTTTGCTTTACAAGTTAATGAGTCAGTCATGTGCGAAAGATTGGCATGTTTCCCATCTCCTAAAGCGACCTTCAATTGGATTCTTTTATTGTCAATGACAGCTACTACAAAGGATATTCTTTCCAAGTTTTCAAAGACTGGAGACAGCCAGGCGGCCACTCACCAAAGCATGCCAACCACACATTGTTTCTATTTTATCCATTTTTACCTTCCTCAATGCCATCTCTTCTTCTTTTACGCTTTTACCACAACAGATATTGCCGCTAACCAAATTATTTTCAGTAACAAAGAGATGGAAATAGTGTTGCTAAAGGGTTTTCTTCACTTTGCTCCTTGGTTTACTATTTGAAAGTAAAAGGCAATGTTCAAATGAAATATTTTTTCCCAGTTAAGCAGGAAGCCACACTTCAACAATAAGAGCAGAAAAGAGAAATGAAGACTCAAATCCATGAATTATTCACTCATTTCCATAAGACATAAATGCAATTTCTTCCATTAAAGACTAGTACATGAGTGTTGAAGCCGTGATATTCAAAAAATAATACACCTGCTAGGAGGCTGCAGATGACACAAATTGTAAAGTACCTAAAATGATTCTTAAAAGAACGAATACTGAGGAAACTAAGATACAGCTCTGACCCGGCTAGTGTGGAATGAAAGATGGAATACCTAATACCTTATAGTTTGCGTAAAATTAATAGGTGGAAGCCAACAGTAACAAATGAATGGAACTGAAAAGATATTCCTGGCCATAATACTAAATGCAGAAAGCAGAAGTCAATACTGGGGTTATAGCTGAAAACCTGCTTTATTAGGCTCAGGTTCTCTTGTTGGGTTCAAAGACATACTTAATCAGTGATTCCTTGATTGGTAGCAACTCAGGGAACTCATTCTTCAACTTGGATGCATCCATCTCATTATTGCTTCGAGGGGCAACTATCACCTTGGCTTGTTCTTCCAATGTGAAGTTTGCCCACTGATAGTTGGAATCAATGTAAGTTTTGTACAGCTCCAGGATCTCATTGTGGCTCACAACCCCAGGGTTTGTGAAGTTCCATATACCCCTCAAGTTCCTCTTTGCCATCTCAATAGAAATAGGTAGAAGTTCATCCAAGATTGTCATGCTGTTGGGAATGTTGACCACCTTGTTGTAGCGTGAAATCTTGGTGATGAAGTTGCGGGGGTTGTTTAGGTCAGATGAGATTGGCATTCGGACTCTGAGGGTGCAGACATTGTCATATTCTTTCAACAGCTCTTCAACCTAAAAAAGTTGGAGGCAATTTATGAACACTTAAGACACAAATTAACAAACAAAATGGGAATCAGATCAAAGATGTTCAATGTAATTACCATAGCCTTGGTTTTTGAATAGAAGGAACCAGTGAAATTGGGTTTGTCTTCCTCTTTAAACCCAACGCCAGAGCCCTCAAAATGTGCAGCATCATACTCAAATATACACCCAGTAGCAAAATTCATCATCAAAAGCCCATGCTCTCTGCAAACATCTGCTAAGGTCAAGGTTCCAGCCACATTGGTGCGAATTGTTTCTGTTTTGTGAGATTCACACCAATCAACATTGGGTCTACCCGTCACACCAGCAGCATTAAAAACATGGGTTGGCTTTATATTTTGGATATCTGCCAGAAGCGATGAACGATCTTCCAAGCGTCCTCTTCCATATTCAAAGGGAATACCTTGTTTCTCACATAACTGACCAAGTACGCCTCCAATCCAGCCCGTCCTGCCATATAATAAGAACTTCAAGGATGGTTTTCGGGGAGAGCCACTACTTTTGGAGGTTGGAACCACCATTCGGGTCTGATTAGGACCATTTACAAATGATGAACCCTTTCCCTCTTCAGAATCAAAGTGTCTACCACCAGGCATCATCAGCATCCTTGGGTGTGGAAGCAGTGCACCAGACACATCACCCCACCAATCAGGATTTTGAGTGTACCACTCTATAGTTTTCTTCAACCCCTCTTCCCATACGGTACGCTCCGACCATCCCAAGTTATTCAGTTTCTGATCATCGAGAAAATACCTCTGGTCATTGAATGGTCTGTTTTCAACAAACTTGATGCTTGTCTCAGGATCCATTGAAAAAAGTTTACATATATCTTTGGCAACATCAATCACTCTCCTTTCCTTCTTTGTTCCAATATTATAAACATGACCAACTTCACCCTTGTGAAGAATGACTTCAAATGCCTCAGCCACATCCTCACAGTATAAATAACTCCTCACATTAGAACCGTCCCCATGAATTGGAAGAGTCTTCCCCCTCATTGCTAAGAGGATAAACTTCGGAATTAATTTTTCAGGGAACTGGTTGGGACCATAAACATTGTTTCCACGGGTTGTAATCACAGGTAACCCATATGACCTACCATATGCCATAACAAGCATTTCAGCTCCAGCTTTTGTTGCAGAGTACGGGTTTGTTGGAAGCAGTTGGGAAGCCTCATGGTTTCCTACAACAGCATCCTCATCTGTCTCCCCGTAAACCTCATCTGTGCTCACATGGATGAACCTCCTGATCTGGCCAGTAACTTTGCAGGCTTCAAGCAGGACATGAGTGCCATAGATATTGTTCTTCGTAAACTCAAAGCTATTCCCAAATGAGTTATCAACATGAGTTTGGGCTGCAAAGTGCATTATTGTGTCAATAGACTCAGTGATGAGGAGGTAGTTAACAAGGTCAGCACTGCCAATGTCCCCCTTCACAAACTTAAAGTTTGGAGAGGACTTAGAGGGAAGCAGGTTTTTCAGGTTTGAGCAATAATCAAGCTTGTCAAGCACAACAATCTTGTAGTCCGGGTAGTTTCGAATGAGCCGATTGGCAACATGAGATGCAATGAACCCAGCAGCCCCAGTAATCAGGATATTCTTGGGCGTATAACTAGCCATAGTGAAACCAATTCTACAAAAAAAAAAAAAGGATATACACAACCTAATATCAGAACTATGGCAAAGGATAATAACAATCAGCACCAACTTGCATAAACAAATACCTAAAAAGGTTAATAGAATCTGGGACCAAAGCTAAAATAAGCATGTAAAAATCCAAACCATATAAAGACACACACACATGTAAGCACCGACAAACTGAGTCAGCAAAATTCCATCTAAACAGAAGATTCCACCAGATCTCATTCTAAATGAATATAAATAAATAAGAAGAAAAAAGCAATATTAAAAAAACCGATCTGCCGGCAACATAGGAGGATCATACCATCCACTGAAATCAAATCACCTCATTGTTTTTTTCTCTTTGGTTTGGCTCATCAAATTAAACTTGAATTTTTTGCCTAGCATTTATTCAAGCATTTCATTTCCACAGATCTTATAACAACCAACTACGTAACGCTCCCATTTTTCTTTCTCTCAATTCAATGTTTGCAGTCACAGTTCAACTAACAAAGAAGAAAATGATCCATAAGTTTATGACTTCATCAACAAGATCCACCTTAATTTCCAGATCCAATGTAAATAAAAGATTACTACTTTTAAAATGTAAAAAAAATTAAGATCTTTTAAATCCCATTTCATCATATATATATATAAAGAGATCCAGATCCAATTATTAAGCAAATAAATGTAGCCAAAGTAAAAGCTAAAGAAGCAATCCAAGACATGATTTTTTTTTCCACAATTAACAACAGATCTAAGAAAATTAAGAAATACCCAGATCATAAAATGGCCTCAATTAATCAAAAGAAATACAATGATCGTTCACATTTGATCCTCCAACAATGACACAGAGAAATGAGAAACTTTGACTTACGAGATGAAGAGAAATCAATCAAAATCCAGATAGAGAAATAGAAACACACAAATTCTAGAGAGAGAGAGATATGTGGAGAGTGTTGAGAGAGAGAAACAAGGAGCTTTTGAGAACGAAGCTTTGAGGGAGAGGGAAAGTGTGGAGACTTCGTGTATATATATACATATATATAGCTCTGTAAATAAGAGAGACAGTTAAGGGGAGCCATGAAATTATACAAAGTGACAAAAATACCCTTACGTTGCGGATATATTTGCTTGTGTCACGTTCCTTGTGTGGATGATGACGGTAAGGGTTAGTTGGGAACAAAAGAAAGTGTCGGACACAACTGTTCTTCATGATTAAGTCAGGTGGTGAGTACATTTATCTTCTATAAAGCAAGTTTTAATTAGGTAATAAAAATTAAGGTTACGCCTGCTACCCAATAGGATGTTGACAAGTGTTAATTGCTTCCATACTTAGAATTTACCCTAACCCTCTTTTGCTTTAATTTTTTTGGGTTAGAAAGTTTGGCCTTTTTAGTTTTAATTTTATTTGCATTATTTGGTGAATTTTATTTGCATGACCTAAAAATAGAAAAATATGTCTTCTTTATTATCTGAAGAAGCTTTATTTTTTTATTTTGACTAATCAAAGATTAATTTATTTCAAATTACCTATAAAAGATAAGATAAGATTTTTGTTCAAAAAAAATCAACCACCCGATTAACTTTACGGGTAAAATCTAAAATCTAAATTTTGTTACTGTTTATATTTTTATAAATATATATACATCATTGTTTGTACTTGCGAGAGATACCATAGAGAATTTAAATTTTATAATATAGAATAAAAAATATATTTTTAAAAAATTGAATAATAATTAAAAATGCAATTGAATTAAGAGAAAGCTAATAGAATAATGGTATTAAAGCTTAAATTATATTTGGAAGAAAAAATTTTGACTTGTTTACTTTAGAGATTAATGTAAATTAAATAAGAAACTTCATTAAGAAGTTGATACATTAATTAAATACTATATACTTTTCAAACTAGGCATGCTTTGAATACCCAAGCAGCCCAAACAGTCATTTGTCACAATATTCCAACTGCCGAGTGAGTTTGACGCGGTTCAGCACACCGAGTCTTTTTTTCCCTACTTTCTCTTCCTTCTATTCTTTTTCTTAGCAATTAAACATAGTTGAGGTATTAAGCCCAATTAAAACATTGTACAAATTCATTTATTTATTCCTTATGATTGAAAGCATATAGTATATGGGGTCCATGAGAATTTAATGGAGGCCATTTCAGGATTTGCTAGGAGGAAAAGAAGCTTCAGTGACAGGACAGGTGCTGTGAAGTTGCCTGAATCCTTGATTCTGGAAGAATCATTTTCAATGTTTGTGATATCTTGTAACCATTTTAATGGCAACAATATGCAGTTTTCCTATGTTGTAAGATACAAAGACATGGGAAGATTTCAGTTTCAGCTTTGGGAATATACATGAATGGGGTAGAAGCTAGAAGAAGAGGAAGAGGAAGAGGAAGAGGGTGTGTAGGTGGAAGAGACAACTCCTCAGAAACAACCTTTTCTTAACTATTCATGAACTTTAGTACTTTAAATTGTTTTCACTTAAAAATTAGAGATTTTATTAACAAATTTTATATTAACATGACATTTGTACTACTTAAAGGTGTTTGGAGGATAGGTTTTGAATTGACATTAATATAATATCAAGTTTTAAAATATAATATTAACAGAAAAAATTATCTAATACGCCTGTTTTTAAATTTGGGATTAGAAGATTATCATATATTTTATTAAGATATATTTTAAAAAATATAAAAAAAATTTAAACCCGTTTATGAAATTTAAAACTTATAAACTGATCGTCCATATTAATAACTTGGCTTTTCAATCAAAGCTTTTAATATTGAATCATAGAAGTTGATGTAACCTTTTATTGCTTGGGCCCAGGGCCCATGAGGGATATGATTTAATTGCTTTGAAACAGAGTGTTGGGATTTCACCCATCAGTACTTAAAAGAGTGTCAGTAAGCAAATTGAGGCTATCATATTCAGATATATGTCATGTCTTTACAGTTTATATTATCTTGGGTGATCTTATCATCCAGGGTATTTTCTCCCTAATGTCTGCTCCAAAGAATAGACATGTTAATGGGTCGAGGTGCAAATATATTTAGTCAAGTGAAATCATTTTGTCCTTCTTTTTTCTTTTTCAAAAATCTTATTTTCATAGAAAATTTTTCTTTTTTTCTTTTTCACGAAAAACCAATCATATTTATTGAAATTTATAACCTACTTACATTGAAGCAAAATTAGACCTAAAATTATGTATCGGATCACTTTACATTAAATTCATCGTGTTAATGTTCCAGCTAGTTCTTGGCCTTTTCGCAAAACACATTGTTTATGAGCTAGTGCAATAATTTTTCTTTAGGGAGCTTGATTAGGACCATAACGTGTGGAGGTTAAAGGTTGCGGGCACGTGATCACTTCTATCTCCTTCGGTAAAGGGCAGCCATGCAACTTCTATATGTTTGGAAATGGCAAGATCGATCGATTTGGTGATGTTATCATTGCAGCAGGGTATAAAAGCACTGTTAGGAACTGGCTCAAGGTGGTATACTATATCTTATTCTTCTTAACATAGAAAAATTACACGAACCTTGGATGAAAATGGAATGTCCCCCAGAAAAGGTTTTCCTAATCATTGCAAAGGGAGAATGGTATTTACTTGTTTGGGTTTTCAAGCAGGGGATCGCAAGGTATCTCAAATGATAGCACAAAATATAGCAAGAGATACAAATGGGTGCTTTGGGTTATGATTATGAAGTTCAGGAAGATAGAAGAGGAATGAGTTGTTTCCATGTAAGAAAAGAAATTTACATACTGATTCTATTTAGAAAAGTAGCTCAAGTTTCAGTTGAAAGCTCCATTAATCTCAAAGAGAGAGAGATGAAAGTAAGGTTTCTTGCAACTGATAAGTCGCCACAGACCTCTCTTCGTTCCCTTTCCGTACGTACGTTTGTCCCTTTGCTGATTCTTTGCTTCAAAAAATCATTGTTCTGCTGCCAACGATTTATGTTATTACTCCTCTTTCACAGATGCCCCCATGCGCATGTAGCTTTTAGAACTAGCTAGTAACTCCGAAACTTTTGCAGTTAAGCATGTTTCCTCCTCCAAGTTTCTCACAGATATATATATTCCATTTAGTTTGTGTTTTAGTCTTAGTATGTTTACCATATGTATTAACTTCTAACCTTATACGGCAGGATATTAATTGGTTTTTTTAACTAATTAAACTGTCTGTCTTCAACCCAGAGTGATGAATATGAATCAACATCTAAAAATGTATATGATACAAACCTATTAAGAACCCTTTATTTTACTAAACTGAAGGATAATCCATTCTTATAACATATATGGTCCTCTCTTATTATATTAATCTTTCTTGATTAAGTACAAATTTTCGAGGTAAAAAAACATTTGAATCAATTGAAGGATGTATCACTAGAATTTAATCTAGCTTTTAATCCAATATAACGAGTATAATTAGACCACGTAAAAGAATAATTGTAATGGCTCTTAACAAGTATCTCGATGATTAAAACTTGATTTATTAATATGATATATGGAATAAAAAAATTATCGTAGGTATAATTGATGAACAACTTTCTAATCGTTTTGAAGATGATCGACTTTCTCTCTCCCTTTTGGAATTTCTCACAGTTGGCTTCCCCTTTAATAGCTAACGACTTTTTCTTTCTTTAATTCCAAGACTAGTACGTGTTTCATGTTGTCCTGTTCCCTGTTTACAGTTATATATACATATTGCTCATGGCTATGAGATCTAAGTAACCCAAAAAACTTTGTAACCAAGCAATAAGTTCTACATTCTGGGAAAAAGAAAAGGTAAGTTGCTATTTTATGTATTTTAATGTTGTTGTGTAATTCTTTTAGCAATTCTTTTATATCTTTAAAAGATTATTATTCTCTGCATGGATAGTTTAAGATAGCAAAGGAGTAGCAGCAGTATTTAACAGCATTCCATTACTTGTAATGTGCTTTATTTTCTGAAAAATCTTGTATGACTCAAGCATAGCAACAGATGGATTGCTTCTGCTTTCATATATTCTTTCCCTGCAAGAGGAAAACAGAGCAAGCTCCAACAATATCTGGGTTAAGACCACTGCTCTAATTCTCGAATCAGACTTCAATTATGGTTTCAGGCACAGCCACAATCACAAAGAAGTCAAGCTGCTATTCAGTTTAGTTTCAATCGACATATTGGGTCCATTGGTTTTGCATAACAAGCCCCAGAAAGATGCTGCTTATAAGTAAGTATTAACTGCAAATAATTGCACTGACTCTGTTTCTTGTAGATGGGAAGAGAAAGTAATGAGGTGTTTCTTGTATATGCAAATAATTATCATGATTTTACTTTTTATTTTATATAAGAACAATGTGTTAAAATTGGTATTGGTTTAGTTATTTATTCATGTTCAGCAACTTGTAGGAAGTAGAAACAAATAACAAAAAGCAAGAAAAAAGCCAAAATCTTTGAATGTTTTGTAGCTATGGTGTTGCTTCTCTCGTTAAGCGTATCCGTTAATATTTTATCAACTTGAACTCGAAAGAAACTAGTCTGTCTTGTATTCTTACTCCAAGGAATAGTCTTTTTCTTCAAACAATATATATTTCCTAGGCATGTAGCAACAATTAGACAAGTACCCAAGTCATATAGAATATTGCTTTAAACAAATAGATATTTAAACAACCACCAAATTAACGTTTCTTGATTATTCTGAACATATGTTGTGATTTTCAGTTGCCTGTGCTCTATTCTTCACGAAGGTCAAGGATGCAATATTTACCATGAAAACCCTTTGGATCAAATGTCAGATTCGGGCCACGGTTGTAGTGAGCGTTTGCATTCAACTCCTGCTTGTCATATTGGGTAATCGACGGCGATACAGTCGTAAACGCTCACTGTATACATCACTCACTGTTTCGCTAATGTGCCTGCTTGGAGATTGGATAGCAACAGTTGCTCTGAATAGCCTCCTTGAGAGCAGTGAGGAACAATTAACAAGCCCATTGGTTGTTTTTTGGGCACCTTTCCCGCTCTTCCA